CTTCAGCAAAGCTCTTAAATATTTTCCTCTCTGTCTCTAGAGTTATTGGCATGGGGTTTTTTTTTGTTAGGAGAATGAAAAAAAAGAAACAGGGGCCCACCTTTGAATTTCTTCACAGTGCTGCAGTTGCAGGGGTCAATGAAAAGCTCCTTTAATGCTTCTTAAGAATATGCGAATATTTGATTCTCCATCGCTTAGCCACAGGTTCACTTTAAAGCTGAACAGACAGATACAGTATAAAAAAAACAGTTAATGTAGTTATTATAGTGAGTATAACTTTTTTATTTTTGAACCTAGGCACAAATGAGCAATTAACCCTTGCAGTGCTGGTGTAGCCCCACTGCAAGGGTTAATGGACATTTTATCCAGAGTTCTGCTTTAATTGTACAGCATCACTGTGCACTGCTGTGTTCTATCAAAGTTTGTGACTGCGTTAGAATGTGTGACCGTTTATGTGATCACACATTTTAACCTGATCCCGCCCAGTTTTTCGGCGGTGGAATGTGTGACCGGTCGTGATCACACATTTTAATGTAATCACACCCACTTTTTCTGCGGTAAAATATGTGACCGGCAAAAGGGGAAGAATTCCAGCTGTTCCAGGGCAGATCGGCATCGCAGATCATATGTGCAGGGGAACCGATCTGACCTGCAACAGCTGATCGGTCCTGAAATATCACTTCTATCCGACTTTGTGAGTGCGCTCTCACATTCCACAAAGTCGGATAGAAGTCACATTTCAGGACCCATCAGCTGTTCCAGGGCAGATCGGTTCTCCTGCACGTACCATCTGCAATGCCGATCTGCCCTGGAACAGCTGGTAAAGCGTTGGCATTCTTCACCTTTTGCCAGTCACATGTTTTACCTCAGAAAAAGTGGGCGTGATTACCTTAAAATGTGTGACCGGTCACACATTCCAACCCAGTCACAATCTTTGATAGAACACAGGAACTGAAGAGGAGAACTAGGATCTAGTTAGCAAGGCTAAATGCACATGTGCTGTAAGGGAACATGCTGACTGTGGGACAGAGCAAACTGACAGAGGAATAGGCTGCTGCTCAGTCACTGTTCAGCCTCAGGTTGAGGGCAGGAACGTGACCTAGCTTTATTGCTTAAAGGAGAACTATGGGGTCAGTGTTTTTCCCCATAGTTCTCCTTAGGGTAACGGAAGGACACAAACTAGCGTCCTCCCGTTACCCTAAGCTCAGTATACCGTGAGCTACAGCTCGCAGTATACTGAGACGCCGGAGCTGGAGCGGATCCCGACGTAGATGACGGGATCCGCCCAGCTGCGTGAGTGACAGCTGGCTCTGCCTATCTAGAGGCAGAGCCAGCTGTACCCGCCCCCGCCCTCGTCCGTTCCGCCAGTCAACGCTGGCAGATCGGAGCGGGGAGAGGGGAATCCAGCCCCTCCCCCTGTCACGGCAGAGAGCCGTGACAGGATCGAGAGGTGAGCGAACCTGCTATGTGTTCGCTCACCTCCCGATCTACTGAGCCGACCTGTGACAGTCTCATTGTCACAGGTCGGCTAAAACTATGAGGTGAGTGGAAATCACTCATCTCATAGTTCTCCTTTAACTGCACAGAAAAAAGTCCAGTCACCATTTTTTTTTGTCAGGCAGAAAATCTAAGAACTAGATGTTAACTAATCTGTAGATCTAAGAGCTAAGTGGACAATGGCTGTGTCAGGTAAAACTGCTCATTTATATGTATTTCAACTATGTGTGTATCTGTTTGCCTGGAATTTAGATTTAAAATGGTAATGGAGCTTTCACTTCATTTGGTTTACATGATTTTGAACAGATCTCCCTGGTTATAATGTGGCCGTAGGGGTGAGGCTAAACCCTGGTGTAACAACTGCAAATTGTAACCTTGCTGTTAAAATCAAAATTACACTTAGTGGAACATATTATAAATAAAGATAACTGAATGTCTTTTCAAAATCTTCCAAATATCTATCCAGCAATTTAGTGATTTGTGTAATTGTTTTTATTCTGTTTTCAATCCTGATGTTACAAACTATTGTCTAACCTAATTTCCTATGTACATTTGTCTCACAAGCTTCCTAATGACTCCATTCAGCTAATTTGTTTTTAAGATGTTATGCTCAGAGTGAGCTTTGTAGATAGTCAATTGCTTGATTACAAATACTAAATAAATGTTTCCAGAAACACAAGATATTTAAGTAGTGAAGTAATACATATTGCAACTGCTGAGAGGTCAAACAAATGTTTTAAGACCTTGGTTGGCAATAATAAGGTGATTCATGGAGAATGAACTGGTGACTGATATAGTCTTTTACATCTGATGTCATTAGTCTTGAGATCCTCCTGGATTTATGTAATGATAGATGGTAGCAAGTTTAGACAACATGGATGAAAATATTATTTTTTTCAGAACTTGCAGTCATGCATTGCGAATGCTGAAAACAAAAATTATGGTTGAGTTGGGTGTAGCTATCTATGTGCAGCTTAGCCTTTAAAAAAGAAAGACATTTGGAGACCTTGTGAAAAAAATTGCCTGATCCCATCAAAGTTTGTGGACTAACAAAGCATTTATGTCCTCAATTTGTGGGGGTACATCTATCAAATTTCTATTACCTGGGCATTGTATATAGTTGAAGATAGTTCTTAATGCCATTGACTGTATGTTTGGGGTCGTTGTCCTGCTGCAGAATACATTTGGGGCCAATCACACGCCTGCCTTCCTAATGGTATAGCATGATGGATAAGTATCTGCTTGTATTTCTCATCATTGAGGACACCATTGATCCTGACCAAATCTACAACTCCATTGGCAGGAATGCAGCCCTAGACTTGCTAGGAACCTACACATTGCTTCACTGTTGCCTGCACACACTCATTATTTTATTGCGAACAAACTGCCTCCTGCTACAGCCAGATATTTAAAATTTTGACTCACCTGCTGCCATTTTTCTGTGGCCTTGAGGCCAAAAAGTCATACCTCCGACGTGGAAACAAGGTTAAGGTGCAGGAAAGCGATAAAATAATGAGTGTCTGCAGGCAACAGTGAAGCATGGTGGAGGTTCCTCGCAATCCTGAAGCTGCATTTCTCCCAATAGAGTTGGAGATTTGGTCAGAATCAATGTTGTCCTCAATGCTGAGAAATAGAATCAGATTCTTATCCATGATGCCATACCATCAGGGAGGCGTGTGATTGGCCTCAAATTTTTGACGATGAACCCAAACATACAGCCAGTGTCATTAAGAACTATCTTTAGTGTAAAGAAGAACAAGGAGTCCTGGAAGTGATAGGTTGGCCCCCACAGAGCCCTGATCTCAACACCACTGAGTCTGTCTGGGATTAAATGAAGAGACAGAAGGATTTGAGGCAGCCGACATCCACAAAAGATCTGTGGTTAGTTCTCCAAGATGTTTGGAACAACCTACCTGCCGAGTTCCTTCAAAAACTGTGTGCAAATGTACCTAGAAGAATTGATGCTGTTTTGAAGGCAAAGGGTGGCCACACCAAATATTGATTTGTTTTGGATTTCTCTTCTGTTAATTTACTTTCCATTTTGTTAATTGATAAAAAAATTAACTATTAACACTTTTATTTCTGAAATCATTTTTATTTTACAGCATTTTTCAACACATGCCTAAAACTTTTGCACAGTACTGTACAGTATATATGTACGAAATAGCTCATTGCAAATATATTCTTTCTTTTCTGTTCCCAGTACCAGTCATGAAGGTACTATTATAGATCGAATGGTCTGCAAGTGTTTATAGGTGCTGTTAGTGAAAATGCTATTTAACGTAGCTCCATTTATTTTAAAGACCGATATACTGTATTTGATAACCACATAACCCCTTTTGTGATTTCAAAACAATTCTGGGACTAAGCACATGTTTATGGAGAACATCCCATTTAGGCACAGTTATTGGCAGACTTCAACTTTACTGCCTTTGTTTATTTTTAGTATCTACAGACCCAAAGCAGTGGAATTTACAATGGAGTTAGATACAACTCTTGCAATGTTACATAGTTGATCTAAGAGAAAGTATTTTTGTTACAAAAAAGGCAAATTTACTGTTTTATTTTCTTCTTTTTTTCTTCAAACAAATATGGGAACATTGTTAACCTCCTACTGAGACGCTGACCCTCTGCCTTTATGTTTTCATTCTCTAACATGAAACAAGTATATCTGCATACTTCAGTGACTTTTAATCACTAAATTAAAATTTTAGAATTAAAGAGAGTTTCAACTTGGCAGCCAGGTAACAAGCATTTTAAAAATGAGTAGTCCGCAATACAGCCTCTTTGTATTTTATCGTAGTGTTTTAATATCATGCTGTGCTATTCAAGTGCAAGTCGAAGGATTGTAATTCTTCCTATGTACATTACATTGGACAAGACCAATACATTCTGGTTTTGGTACTAGGCAATTTTCTTAAACTAAAAATAAAGTGTGTAAACTCATATATGACAGACACTATGCAATGCTTGTATCAGAGATACGTCTATATTTACATATTTTTTTGCTTTTTCAGTAGCAGTTATTTCTATGTAGATGGGATTTTTCAGTAATACAGAAATAACTGACCGATGTCAATGGACCCAGTTAACAAATGTGCTAATAAATAAACATATTGCCGCTAGCTGTAGCTTGTCCCAGCCATATATTTTTACTGCCTGTTCTTACTGCGTGTTCTTTACAAGCTCCAGTTTGTAACATTAGAGGCACTCAGCTTCCTGGTTGCATAAGTTCACATTGTTCGCCTTAATTAAGAACACCTTATACAGACCAATATTTTCATTTTATTTATGTTTTTGTGACTGGTCCTTGTGAAATGGTTAAAACGCTGCAGGAAACTAGGGCACATGTGTGATAACTGGAACTTGTTCCCCTGCTGGCATTGGTGGTTTATGATCTTCTAGAGCAATTTGCTGAATGCTATAGACTTTATTTATTGAATGTTTCTTTTCCTCTAGGTCAAAACCCACTAATCCCAGATTTACTTTGCTTGTTTTTACAGGTGACTTGTAACAGCTTCACCATCAGTGATGGGGAGATGCAGGACGTTGGTGTTGGCCTCTATCCCAGGTAATGCATAGACTGCCTTATTCACAGTGACTACATTTTTTTTTTAGGTAGCCAGCAGGGTTTATCTGAAGGAAACTGTTAAATTACAAGGAAACACACTCATACGCAAAGAAAAACATGAATTAAACTTTGTTTTTAAAATGTCTCATTACCAACTGAGGCAGTTATTTATGTAGTCCTAGACTGGTGGCTTTTTTAAAGCACGTAGCTTTCACTAGGGACAGAAACAAGTTTAAAGAGGAACTGGAGGCCCTAGTTTATATTACCTGCTGTAAGAAAGTACAGTAATATAATCAGTAGAACGGAAAAAGAGATTTTCATTAAAACTAAGCTCTAAACTTTCTCACAGCTGAAATTTCATGTCAGTTGTTGTTACAATTCCCTTCAATTATCAATAGACAGCAGTGCCAAGAGTCAAACATTTGTAACAACTGGGTCTCTTTCTGTCTTTGGATATTCCTGCCATTTACTGTGGAATGTATTGAGAGTGTAAGTATCTGAGCATGCTTAAAACTGACTCATACCAGTACCATTTAATTCAAAACATTCCTAAAAAGTCATCATCTCATCAAGGCAACTATGGACTAAAGTAATGCAAGTAAAGTGGGCATGGAACTGTAGTTGCTTAAAAGAGTTGAGAACTGATTTTGCTAGATTGTGGTATTACAGTACCTCGATCAGTCTGAATCACTCTAGTTAGTTAGATATTTTAAACTTTTCTTGGTACATATGACAGCCTGCTTGGTATTATTTTAGCTTTCAACTTCCCTGTATTGCCTTGTATTGCTTGTAGCCTTCCTAATGTCTTCCTTCTTCCAGCCAATCTAAAAGTAATGGGTTCATTGTACATAGACCCACACTTTTGACTCTTCTAATCTGAAAAATCTGCTCTCAAGGAGATACCAGACTAGTGCACAGGTTTTTGAAAACACACATGCAGCTTTTTCTAGCAGTTTAAATAGTTATCTAAACCTGTCACTTCTACCTACCTTTCACACAAGCTGATCAGGAGAGGATGCCCTTTAAGGTGTCTTTTACATTAATAAGATAAAAAGTAATACCACACTGGCAGAGTTGTCTTGTATTTTTACTTTGGCACAATGAGTGCTGGGAAGAGATGTGTAAATTGATTGCCTGGTTTGACCTGGACTGGTCAATTTACCTGAGGTGGATATTTGCAAACCATTGGTTAATGTTAAATTTCTGTGCTGACCCTGTTAAATTCAGCAGGCTTAAATCTGTTCTTGCCTCATCTGGGACTTTGCAGTGTTACTCAGAGATATAATCACTAGTATACAAGTTTCATAAAAATCTTTTTTTAATATAAGTTCTTCCAACACAAAATGAAAATAATCAATTCTGTCATTATTAGGTAGCAGTGACACAAATCTTAATCTTGAAGTGTCAATCTCAGCAGATAAAATACACCATCAATAATGTATACTTGTTTACCATTTTCTTACTGAGATAACAAATACATTTTGGTTTTAAAACAAGAAGTAAGGTTGTTCTGTAGGTATTTTTTTTAGGAAAATAAAAAAAAAAGATAAAATGTTTTCCACAACATTCAGCACATTCATCAGTTATTCATCCACATACCTAACTGTAGTTGGCCTACAAATTCTAACCACATTGTGTTATTTATTTACCAAAGTAAACCACCCAAATCGAAGAAAAGAAAAACTAACTTCTCTTGGGCATCTATTTGGCAAATGAGATTTAATGTTGATGAATGTAAAGTTATGCACTTGGGGACTAAAAACATGCATGCGTCATACACTCTAAAGGGGAGTATGTTTGGGGGAGTCAATGAGGGAGAAAGATCTGGGTGTTCTGGTAGACCATAGACTCAATAATTGCATGCAATGTCAAGCTGCAGTTTCTAAAGCAAGCAAAATACTTTCTTGTATTAAAAGAGGTCTAGACTCCAGAGAGAGAGACATAATCCTGCACCTGTACAAAGCATTAGTAATCTGGAATATTGTACAGGACACCGGGGCTGGGTCCTGGAAGGACGCTATATTTCCCCTCTGTTTGGACTGTTGTCCCTTTAAAGGATGAGCCGGGATTAACTCACCTGCTGGAGGAAGAGTGTGTTTAAAAGACAGGAAGTGATAGCTAGCAGGTGAGGAGTAGTGTGGAGTAGGTTGGAGAGTGGGGATCTGTGTACTGCTGTGAGCTTGAATGTCAGTAATCTTGCTGGAAATCTGTAGACTGGGAAAGTTACCCTTGAAGTCTGGGACTGTTTAAACTGCGATTGCAGCTCTGAAATCTTCATGCCGGTGAGACTGTTCTTTTGTGTTGTACTGAAGAGTTGCTGTTTGAGTTGGCCAGCTGGTCAGTGAAGATGAACTGTTTTGTTATTTTGCTGCTGTGAAGCTATTTAAGTTAATACACTTTACTTTATTTGCAAAGCCTGTGTCCTGCGATCCTGCTGGATTCCCCTAACAATACAAATATGCAGTTCAGTTTTTGGCCCCAGTTCACAAAAAGGATGTTGTGGAACTGGAGAAAGTGCAGCGAAGGGCAACTGAACTCATAAGAGGCATGGAGGACCTCAGCTGACCTGAATTTGTTCTCTCTGGAGAAGAAGCGATTAAGGGGGGACATACTGTATACATACATAAATGGTCCATATAGTGAGCTTGGTGCCAAATTATTCACTTTAAAGTGACATTAAACCCTCAGATTTTTTAACATAAAACAATACTGTAATGTGTGCCTTACTGTAATCCATGGTGGTTTCCCTTCTCTTTGCTGCTCTTCCTTTTAAATCTGTATCTCTTCTCATGCTGGGCAGAACTTCTGTTTTGCAGCAGACAGCCTTGTCTCTGGAATGGATACATGGTGTCTGTGTGCAGGTTCACAACCTGAGTCAGCACTACAGGAAGAGGCACTCAGCTGCAAAGGGACGTTCTCCCACAGCATGAGAAGAGATACAGATTTAAAAGGAAGAGCAGCAAAGAGAAGGGAAACTACCATGTATTACAGTAAGGCACACATTACAGTATTGGTTTATGTTAAAAAAATCTGAGGGTTTAATGTCACTTTAGGGTCACTGCAAAGGACAAGGGGGCACTATTTGCGTCTGGAGGAAAAGAGGTTTGACCTTTGCATATGGAAAGGATTCTTCACAGTTAGAGCTGTGAAAATGTGGGACAGACTCCCCCAGGAGCTAGTTCTAGTTAATTGTTTAACAAAAAATCTGGATGTATTCCTAAATGCACAGAATATTACTGGATATGGAGTTCTTATAGGTATATTAAGCATCAGAGATTGTTGATCCAGGGAATATCCGATTGCCTTATGGGATCAGGAAGGCATTTTTTTCCCCTGTTGGAACAGATTTTCTGCATTCTTTTTTTCTTTTCATATCCCTATAGGTTGAACTCGATGGACATGTGTCTTTTTTCAACCTGACTAACTATGTACACTATGTACACTACAACCTTAATGTACTGTATAGAAAGGATTCTTAAAGACACCCTGACCTAGGCCACAAAATCCAAGAAGCTGGCAGAGGACCTCACCTGAATTTAATAATCATAGCAGAAAAGAGTTTAAACTGAGCTAAATCTACATCTTATACCCTGGGTCATAAACCCAGTACTTTTGGGCACGTAAACATGTTCCAATTAAGATTAAATAATGGCAGTACTTAAAATGGATGTATAAAAACAGAAGGATAGTCGCTGCCATTGCTGATAATCCCATCCATCATTTAACTGACTGAGCCAGTTAGAAACCTATGCCATTCATTATTAGTGACTGAATCTGTTGACAAAAATGTTGACAGCTAATGCAGGAATCTGTGGATCCTTTTCAGGGACGAAGAAAGCAGGCGAATACCCACACTGACATACAAAACTTAACAAAACCATGAATATGTTATAACAAGAGTGTTTATAGTTTTGAATAACAAATGTACTTGCAAATGTGAACATTAAACAGTAATGTGAATAGCACAAGTGCTAAATACAGTGCAAAAAAACACACAACATAAAATAAGGGTTCAGTAAGAAAAGAAAACTAAGAGAAACTAGGCAAAATAAGATATTATGTCTGGCGGCATACTAAGCATTGGGAATACACTAGACACGGAGTGCAGTCTGCACACAAGATGTATGAGGTTCCTCAACACTGATGCCGAGACGGAATTTCTGAGAACCTGAGAACTGACAGGGGTGTATGAGCAGTCACACTGCACATTCTGCTGGTGGATATATAGGTACATTTCTTATATTTCTTAGTGAATGTATTGTATATGGTGGGTGTTTAGGGTGGCATTGGATGTAAGAGCTGATCAAGCTGGAATTGAGATTTTAGCTTCCACACCTTTCAATAACAAACACTTGGTATGGTAACTTGGTTTTTACCCTTAATACTGTCTTAGACAAAACTGCTGAAGAGGCAAGCTTACTATGGGCTAACATATAAACTATGATAACCTCTTCTTCTATATTATCACATAAATACACAGAGAAATGACTAGCTCTCAGAGGAGATGCATTTATTTAGTCATAAAACTTATTCAAGGATTTAAGTCTTGCTCACTATTTCCTCAAACTTTCCAATGATATAGTTCAGTGATATCCCATGTTCTTGTCCTGATCCTGATACTGTCTTTTCAGCGATTACTATCTAATAATATTAGAAACATTTAAAATATAATCCATTATTCCCACAACTCTAAGCTGCCCCTTTCTATTATTGTCTTAGATATAGAAAAGGATTTGGATACATCTTTGATGTATTGGGAAATTGTATTTATGGCTTATAATTACTTCACTCCCAACCTTTTATTGACTTTAAAATGATCTCGCTACCAACAAACAAGTTAACATGGAACTAGGCAGGGTTGCCTTTATTTGCAAGCACTCTCTGCATTAAGGTAGCTCATGATGAATATGAACTTTTGTGCAGTGATAAATGTAATAGACCTATAAAGCTAAATGTATAAAGATAAATCTCAGATGTACTTTTTAAGCAAAAGCAAGACT